ATGTGAAAGGAATGCACACTTGTTTTTGCATCGCCAGCGAAACATGGCACATGTGAAAGGAACGCACATTGCATGTGTTAATGAGATGCTCGCTTGCTTACGCGTTGCCTGCGCGCGAGATCGTGTGTAATTTGTTTTTACGTTACAGTCGGTGGTGAAGTCTGAGATGGGATTCAACGTCGTTGAGATTGAACCGGCGATCGACGAGAAACAGGCAGAAAACTACAAGACCATAGAGGAGGTAAGCATGCGGCGTCAGTCTATGCTGTGTAGCGCCAGTCTATGGTGTGTGGTGCCATGAACCTTCAGTGTTATAGTGATATCTACCAATTGATTGATTGATCTATTTATCCATATATGTCTGTTTTTTTTCTTCTCTCCCTCTCTTTCTCTCTCGCTCTCACTCTCTTTCTCTCTCTTTTTCTCTCGCTCTCACTCTCTTTCTCTCTCTTTCTCTCTCGCTCTCACTCTCTTTCTCTCTTGCTCTCACTCTCTCTCTCGCCCCTCCTTCCCTTCCCTTCTCAGTTTCCTCTCTCTCTTTCTCCATCTCTTGTAATACTGTCGAGTACGTAACTAAAGTTAAAAACCGTTTTTCCGAAATCTTTCCCCTTTCTTGATTTCCGCAGATCCTGTCCCGCCTCACGAAACTGTGCGTCAACGAGACACCCTCTGGTGTGAAGCCGCGGAAACACGAGCAGCGTCTGCTGCGTAACCTCGGTGCCCACCAGGTGGTGCTGGATCTGCTGCAGATACCTTACCAGAAGGTAAGATGGCGGGTCGGTCGTCTGCTGCGCCCCGGGCGCCACGGTAACGACGATGCTGATATTAAGACTAATATTAAGATGTATTACGTAATACTGACAACGGGTCCTGAAAGCTTTTAGGTTCTTGAACACAAGTAAGATGCGGAGGCAGTGACGATAGCTGTGTGTTTTGTTTCCCCCCCCCCCTCACGTAGAAGGATGACGTGAGGATGGAGGGACTCATGACGATGGCTCACGGATTCCTGCAGAGCGTCTGCCTCAGTAACCATGCCAACCAAGCGCTGCTGCACTCGTCGCTTGACATGTTCCTCGACAAAGGGGTGAGTGTGATGATGATGATGACATCGTCATCACCACCGCCACCGCCACCGCCACGTACCTCCACCACCACCGCCACTGCCATCATCATCACTATCATCATCACCATCATCATCATCACCATCACCATCATCATCAGTCATCATCATCATCATCAACGATGACGATGGTGATGATGATGGTGATGATGGTGATGATGATGATGATGATGATGATGATGATGATGATGATGATGATGATGATGGTGGTGATGATGATTATGATGGCAGTGGCGGTGTTGGTGGCGGTACGTGGCGGTGGCAGTGGCGGTGGCGATGGCGATGACGATGACGATGATGACGATGATGACAGTGACAAGAATGACGATACTGGTGAATTGTCACGACAACACTTCTGTTGACAAAAAATTGTGAATTGTGACAAACGGCGCCACCTATCGTCCCCCACACCCATCACCGTAAGGTACATCACGCCTGCTCTCTTGTTTTCAGTTCAACAATGCGAAGACGGTGCGCGCCATCTATCAGGACAACACGAAACTATGCAGCGACGTATCAGAGAGAGTGATCCAGCACTTCGTGCGCTGCATCGAAACACACGAATGTCACGTCGAATACTTGAGGTTCCTGCAGACGGTCGTGAAGGCGGAGGGATCGTACATACGCAAGTGTCAGGACATGGTTATGCAAGAGGTGTGATTAGATTAGGTTTAATTAATATTAATATAATGTACATGTAGCATTTATATAATGTACATGTAGCATTAATATAATGTACATGTAACATTTATATAATGTACATGTAGCATTAATATAATGTATATGTAACATTAATATATACATGTACATATACATATATACATATACATACATACATACA